TTAGCCATCTATCTTTCATATGCTAGTTTTTCTTGTTTCTTTTAATCAGTAGCTTAAGGCAAAGGAATTGTAGGTCTATCATCATCATTTTAAGTCCTTTACATATCGAGAATTTATATTAAATATAATATCTGTTTATTTATTCCAATCTCTTTAAATTCTTTTTAAGATTGTTTATGAACTCATTTTATTTCCAACTTATTTAAAATACATAGACTTAATATAATTGAATAATCCTTAAACAATATTTAATTTTATTATATTTTACAAAATATTTATATTAATCAAATTTTAATTTCTCTTTTTAAAAACAAATTGAGAAATTAATATGATTTAAGAAATTGAATAAATATTCTTTAAAAAGTTTTCAGAATTAGTAATATCTTTAAGAGTTTATTTTCAGTTTACTGATATAGATTAATGCAATCTACCTCATTAGTATGAGACATTTGTTGTAATTAACCTTATTTAGGGTAAAAAATGGAAATGATTTGTAAACTCTATGCATTTATCACAATCATCTATATTCTTTTAAAAAATGCATAACATACTGATTTAGAGTTAAGTATTCTTCAAACATCATTATCAAAAGAGGAATTTATTATAATTATCTATAATCAAATTTTGATTTTTATTTTTTTATAAAAAGTATCTTTGTAAAATCATATAATATTATTAATTGTTAGAATTTTAAATTCATTCAATGAGTTTTTCATTATTTTTATATCAAATCTTTTTTTATTTATTTTTATTAAATTACATATAAACATATGTCAAAAAATGAATTGCTTATAAAATAAGCTCAAAATTTTATTAAAAACATTATTTTTGAGGTTTTGAAAGGAAAGATTTAATTATAATCTTAATTTATCATTATAGTAATAAAAGTCATTATTAAAAATAATATTATCTTTTAAGATATTTAAAATCGAACAATTGTTTAAATTAATTTTATCTTAAAAGATCATTTAAAATTTGAATTGTTATAATTAATTCTAGATTTCTTATTATTAACCATTTATAAGCCTACTAAACTAATTGATTTATTTATTTAAACAGAAAACTAAAATCAAAAATAAGTTAATTAAAAAATATTTTCCCTTTTCATTAATTTTTCTTTTGTTCTCTCAAAAATCTATATTTAAGAGCAAATTATATTATTGTTATTAATACATGCTCAGTAATTATTTTGATTAAGAGTTTTGACATTTAAAACATATTAATGATAAATATGTATTAAATTACATGAGATAATCGATTTGATAAGAATAAAAAGATTTAATGATATAAGTTAATAATAATAATGAGAATTATATAAAATATGATTAACTAAATACCTTATTTATAGGATTAAATACATATTAAATATAATAAATGAAATAAAATTTGGAAGAAATAGCTGCCACAATTCCGAATTTCAAAATGGTTGATGGCAAATATTACATCAAAACAACTAAATTGGGAAAAGGAAATTTTGCAGAAACGTATATATAAAAATATACAAAAGTCATTTGGCTACATTGAAAGACAATGAGAAAATAGTTTATGCATGTAAATTAATAGCAAAACAAAATATCATTGAAAAACTTAAAAAAAGTAATAATCCAGATAGCAGAAAAGAGTATATAATCAACTCGCTAAAAAAAGAGGTATAATCTTTTACCATTTATTTTTTAGGTTTCATTGTGGAAGTAGATGGATCATCCGAATATTGTTAAGTTTATTGATTTCTCTGAAACTCCAAATAATATTTATTTCTTTTTGGAATACTGCAATGGTGGAGATTTAGATATGCTCATCAAAGACAAAGGAAAATTGAATGAATAAGAAGCAGTTGATATATTTCTCTAAATTGCAGAAGGATGTTCATACTTATATGACAAAAGTGTTTTCCATAGAGATCTAAAACCTGAAAATATATTGATACATAATGGTACAGCAAAATTAGCAGATTTTGGTTTTGCTAAAGTAATTGAAGAGGATAAAAAAGATGTGGCTGCACATGGAACATCAGTAGGAACACCTTATTACATGGCCCCATAAATTTTAGCAGGAGAAGAGTATTTATATAGAAATATATATCATTTAGCTATTGCATAAAATGTGATGTCTGGTCTTTGGGTGTAATTCTATATTAAATGTTATTTGGAGTCCTTCCATGGAAAGATACAAATTCTATTATATAATTGTTGAATGCTATCAATAATTAGAAAATTCAATTTCCAAATACAAACCCAGTTGGTTAAGAGATGAAAGATTTAATTACAGTAATGAATATTTTTATGAATAATTAGAAAATGCTTTAAAAAAAAGAAGAAGATCGTATTAATATTAAGGAAGTGTGCGAGAGTTTGAACAAAATAAAAAAGTGATATAAAATATTAACATATATGCATTATTTTATTTATATTCTAACTCATTAACCAATTAAAGCAGATGCTGTCTTTGAGACACTTTAAAATAGTAAAAAAATATATACTATTTCCAATTTGATGGCAATTTTTATGTTCTTCTGTAATATCTACTAAGTCTATGGATTCTGCTTTCAACCAAAATCAATCTGAATTTGCTTGTAATATCACCTCTATTCTTCTCCAAATGCTTTCTGATTTAAACAGCCTTTTTAATTAAGGCATATAAATCTTCAGGAATTTTTGGAGCACAACCTAAAATTTTAATTATTGCTATACCTCTTTTCTTTAAGATTCTTAATATCTTTTAACCTGTTAAGAATCTGGTTTAAGGGATACCTTATTAATCTCTTAAATAAACTCCAATTTGAGATCCATTCAAACCTATAAAATTGCAATAATGTTAAATAAAACCTTTCTTTGCTAAATTAACAATTTAGTCAACGATTGATTTAGATGATAAAGTCAACCATTTTGGTGCTTTTCTTTTATATGGGAGGGCTGAACCAGAAATACCCTTTCCCTTTCCCTTAGCTTACATACGACCCATGAATTAATTTAAGATTTAATTTTATTTAAATTTGTTTAGTCATTTCTTTGTTTTCTTTGGTTTCTTTTTTTTGGCACCTAAACCATATAGTTCTTTTCTTTCCATTAATTCGTTTTAAATTAATTTAATAGCATTTTCCATTCTTAATTATTGTAATTCTCTTAATTTTTTAGCTTCTTGTTCTTAAATTTCCTAAAAATATTTAAATTAATATACTTTTCTTTCACGTTCTTATTTTTCTAATTCTTCTTTTTCAAATCTTCTATTTAATTTATCTAATTCATCTAACATAATATTTTTTTGTTCAGTTAATTTTTCAATTTTATCTTCTAATTCTTATTTCTTTTCATCCATATATTTATTTTGATCATCTGTTTTCTTTTTTGATTCTTCCTAAATAATATTATAATATTAATTACTTCTTTTCTAATTAAATAATCTTTTAATTATTTATGAACCTTTTCTTCAGTTTCAATTTTTGTAGTAAAGTTTAAAATTTATTATTCAATATCCTTTAAGGCAAATTCAAACACTCTCATTTAAGTATTTTCTTTAGATGTACCTACTTTTTCATCATATTTTTTTTTTAAATCAGCTCTATTTGTTTTATATAATAGTTTTTCTTTTAATGATTAAATATTCTTTTATTTTTCAGTTTTCTCGTGTTCATGTTCTTTTATTTCTTAAGTTTTATCATTTTACAATTTTTTAATTTCAGCTGCTAATTCTTTTTCTCTTACTGCAAATTTTCTTAATGAATCTTATTCTTCTAAACTATTCGTAACATTTTGAGCAAATTTATTTAATTAATTATTTTAGATGAATGTTTTGAGATTCTTTCATTAATTTTATATAAATACTTCCAAATCTGAGATCAATCCTGCTCTCTCTTCATAAACTTTTAATGAATCCTAATCTATATTTGGGTTTTCTTTAAATAATCTTTTATTTGAAATGAAACTTATACCTACATAATTTCTTAGTACTTTCTTTAAGTCTTTAAGCTACTTCTTGAATATGCTTTTAAGTTTCAGTTAATTATTTTCTATTAGAAATTCCAACCAAAGTACTTCTTTTGGCAACTAATTCTGCATATTTAACTTCCAATGTTTATTGATCAGTTAACAATTTACTTTATTCATATCCTGCTAATTCTGAAGATATGTCATTATCTCTTGTAATTTCTCCAATGAACTGTAATTTCAGAATACAATCTTTCAATACAAATTACAATTTGTGTTAATCTATGGGATTCATTTTTTATTAATTTATATATATATATATCTGTTTTAATGCTCATTCAAATTTGTAAAACTATTTAGGCTTGTCAATTTGATTACTAAATAAATTCAATCATGAATACATGCCATGATGCCATAAAGATGGTTCAAAATTATTGTCATCATCAATAAAAAAGAATTTTTTATCTAATTCTGGCACATCAAACTTATTTTCCCAAATAGGAGCCCCATCAAGTAATTTACCTATTTCTGGTTTAATGCTTTTAGCATAATAACTTCCAGATGCAAATCTATTGATAAAATTTATTTTATTGAATTACCTTGTTCCTAAAAACACTGCACCAACAATTCCAGCTTTGAAATAAATGGCTAACTTTTTTGCTGGACCTATTCTATTGACTGCCTCCAAACTCAAATAAGTTGTAAGTAATGTTGCCTTATTCTAGAAACTAGATTATCCATTGACTAAATTAAAGACTTAATTTTAAGTTTCTGTTGGGACAAGTGATGTATGAGTCCACCAAGACTAATTATTTTATGTGAGGTTGATATACATTTAATTATTTAATAAATCTTATATTATCAATGTAAATAAAAGAATTGGTCATTATTATTAATTCTTAATATATAATAATATATTCATAAAAATCATACTTATTTTAATATCTATAAAACTACTAAATACATTTTCTTCTACATATTAACTTCATATTATATATAATGTTTTATTATAATATTGTAATTTCATTATAAATAAAATAAATAATAATATATAAATCAATTCTTTATCCTTCATAATCAATCATATATAATTTCATATACTCTAAATTATTTATTGCACCATATTACTAAATGTTTACCATTATTTGATAAATTTCCATAATTATATTCATTCTCTAAAGAAATATATTATTCTTAATTTATTAAATTATCATTTTAGTCAATAGTAAATAAATAAACATTTTCAAGATATTTTTAAATTAGAATTTATTTTTATGAATTGAATATTAATGGAAATTAGAATTCTCCATCTTTTTTATCATTCTTTTTTATATGTATTTGTTATTCAGGTATTTCTTTAAATATTCCATCTTGTTCTTTAAGAATATGAGTTACTCCTTAATTTTATTACCAAACTACAGTTTAATCATTTATAAAACTAATTCTATATCCTAAATGATTTTCTGAATTTTATATTACTTATCTAAAATTCCATACTTATTAATCATCTAAACTCCAAATAATTATTTATTTATCTAATGAAATAGACGCCATTAAATTATTACTTTAATTTAAATTAACCTATATTACTGGACCAGTATGTTTTTCTAAAGATTGATAAAATTATATAGAATTTTATTAATAATTAACTTCCCAAATAATAATTTTGCAATCATTACTACAAGAAATTAATTAATTTTCATTTTCATTTAAAACAAGCTATACAATTTAACCTCTATGAGCAAATTATTGAATTTTTCTTTTTGTTAAATCAAAATTAAATAAAATTTTTTTTGGTTTCCATAAAATAATCTATTAATCATTTCCTGCTGAGAACAACCAATTTTTCTTTTTACTAAATAATAGTGTAGTAATTTCTGATTTATGTTCATTTAAACTATAAAGTAGGTCACAAATATTTCCATCTTAAAATTTCCATAATTTAATTTCTTTATCACAAGTTGTAGCAAGGATAGAATCATCTTTATTAAATGAAATTGCTAAACATTATGTTGTTTATTAAATTATTTTATTTTATTTTTTTATAGATATCTTTTAGTCTTTCACTTATTATAAATTATTTAATTGATAGACATTAAGGAGTTCAGAATTTTCTCCTTTGAATAAGATTTCCAAATTTGGTTTTTGTTAAATTTCTATTTTTACATTTTTATTTTATAAATACTATTATTAAGTATTTTTTATGGGAGACAATTAAGATTTATCCTCTATGTCAAGGAATTAATGTAATTTATTTAGATTATAATCAGCTGTAATTATAGTTTTTAAATCATGTAGAATTTTTTTAATTTTTTCAGAATAGTTCTATCTTTATGTTTTTATCAATTCAACTACAATTTAATTATTTTATTATTACTGATTGTTAACTTTCTTTATTTCTTCAACAAAACTAAATTTAGAAAATTCTTATAACTTACTTTCTAATTTACATTTCCAATCATTAATAGCTTCTATTAAATTTGTTACTAATTAATAAATAATTTCAAATATTTTTGGGACATCTTCTATATAATTACGAAGTATTAAGATTTCTGGTTATAAAATATTTTAATATTCTTAATATTCAGATTATTTCCTTTGTTTAATCTAAATTATAGCTTCATCAATATTTAAAACTGTTTTTGAGCCTTCCTTTTCCTACAAACATTATTAGCATAAAAGTTTAGATTTTGGATTTTCATTGAACAAAACATATTAAACATTTTTATTGTGTTCATTACATTTTATAGATTATTATGCTTCAATCATTTAGCATTCATTTATTTCAGAAATCATGCAATGTTTTTAATAATAAATAAATATTATTTAAAATTATTTCTAAATGATATTCTTTGTAAATAAAAAGACTTTAATCAAATCCTTTGATAATTTATAATAAAAATCTCTCATAACTTATAACATAAATTTCTACATCATAGACTTCTTTATTCAATTTAATAATTATTTTGATTCTCTCTTTCATATCAATTGAATTTTTACTTATAATATATATATTTAAGGTTTCTGAGAATATTCTTCATGTAATTACCAAAAGATTTTTTTATATAGCTTATTGTATTATATATAATTTATAATAAATCAATTTTGATAAACTTTGATTTCACCAATATTAATAACCCAGAATCAAGTTACCAGAGTGTACCAAAGAAATCTAACAAATTATAATTACTTTCTTCTAAGATTTAATTATATGATTAGTTATTTCATTCTTCATTATCATAAATACAAATTTTTACTTTTATATTATTGTATGTAAAAGTATAGAATTTCAATAGTTTATCAAAATAATAGGCCAGATTCTTAAATATTAATAGCATATGCAATAATATATGATTCAGATAATTTAACTATATACCTTATATATGTAAATGATATACATTATATTTATGTTAGTCTTGGAAACAATAAATTTATCATCAATGCACTATGAAAAGTAAATGAATTATTTTGTTATTCAAACAGATTACTGTGTTACTTAATAAGAATAGAATTTCTAAAAATAAATTCATAACAATGAAATGAAATTAGAAATAGAAATATTCATTAAATAAAAGCATATAGTGTAAATTTTAAGCAGAAAAATTGCATAATCATAAAAAAGAATAATATAAACTTTATATAATTATAAATTCTAGATAATTCAAACATATTTATTATTATCTAATAAAATTACAAAATTAAATATAATTCATTATAAAAATAAGTAAATTGTTAAAAGTTTATTAAATCGAGTAGCAGAATTTATAAATCTAATTGGAAGAAAACCAATTGAATCATTATTACTCGAACAAGATAAAATATTAGAAATATTAAGTTAAATATCAAGAATTGAATGTAAACTAATATAATTTAATTTTTAATCGAAAATGATCAATTATTACGCTAAATAGAAAAATAATCTTGATTATAAAGATAAACTAAAGTTGCAGAGGATGAAACAAGAAATTACTGGTTTTAAATCTGATATTTGAAAATTATTAGCCTAAAAATATGTGTTTGAGTTAAAATAAAATATATTTGTCTCATTAATATCTAATAGACTTTTGAATGAGTTATTTTTGTTTTTAAACAAAGTAGAATGAATTAAAAATTTAATTAATGATGATATAATTGTAATAATAAAATAAATATAATAAATAATACATAGATTTTATTATTAATAATATATTTGTATCATGGAGATTTTTACATTTGATAATTGCGATCATTCTAAGGAATTCTAACTTAATGTTTAATATTATTCGGTATTTGATGAAGATTTAGAATCTTCGAACAGGACAAAATCAGTTGTTGATTTATTGGATGCAGGTTTAGAAATTTAAGAAAAATTTCGTAAAAAAGCAAAATAAGAGAAATAGAGTAATTGATCTTTGAATTATTTAGCTTAAAAAAATTTTAAGACTCCTTTAGATTTTCTTAGAGATTCATTAAAAAATAAAATTGATAATACTCTATCATTTTAACAAATATTGATATTTTCAAATCCACAAGTAATTAAGAATTTTGGTAAACCAAAAGTTGTGCATCATAATGGTGAATTTCTTATAGTAGGTGGATCTTTAGGAAATATTCTCTATTACTCTTAATCATAGATGGATATTATTATTTAATAATAGAAAATAGGAGTTGTAACTGCTTTAGATTCATTAAATGAATTAGTAGCTGTAGGTTATGAGAGTGGATGGATTAGTATAATAAATATGAAAAAAAAGAAACATTAGTATACTTGTTAGAATATAACTAAATCTAAAATAATAGTTATTAAATTCATATTTTAATCTAAAAACTTTTTTAATATTATAACTTCAGATGATATGGGAATTATGAGAATTGTAAATTTTAGGAAAGGAATATTGGGATTCGATTATTAAATACAATTAACAATACCAAGATAATAATATCCAATGCTAAACATAATGGTTTTGGATAAAAAGGAAACAAAAGAATTTATGGGTGATTAATATGAAAAATCAAGTAGAATAATTGGATTATGTTCATTACAAAAATTTTATCTTATTATTACTTATAAAGATGATGAAAAGAAGTTGAAATCTATAATAGAGATAGAAAATCCACATATTTCAGGTCCAGAAAAACCCTTTTATTGTTATCTCTCATATGGTTATGGTATTTTACCTCCTCCAAATTAAGAGTAAGAATAATAATGGAAAGAAAAGAGACTGATAATTTTATTATGTTGGAATTGTCATTTGTTTATATTAGTTAAAGGTAATGATTAAGCAAGATATATGACACTTAAACCATTAATTTTTAAATAATAAATACATGCTGCTTATTTTGTAGAATAATCTATAATAGAAGTTATAACTACAAATTAAAATATATATCTATTTAATACACTTCATTTAGAAATGCATATGGTTCCAAAAGGAATAGAATAAATACCATATTTCATTTAAAAAAAGAATTGGCCTGATTCTCCATTTACTTCCCTTTATTAAGTTGATATTAAGAATAAAGATGATGGGATTGAATTGAAATAATATCCATTATAAAATTAAATATATGCTTTAAATAAATAAACAAGGTAAATTCATATTTTAGTGGAAGGATCAATTATCACAGGTAGTATAAATAATTTAGAATAATCTATTGATATTTTTATATAAAATAAAGATTGGGCTAAAGGAATGTTATTGATTTTGGCTTTGATGGATGGAAGCATGAAATCTACTCCAATTAAATTTAATTAATAGGTTTTAAAAAATAAAGTATTGGAAATAGCCACTCATTATATTAAAGTTGTTTTAGAGGAAATCAAAACAACTTTAGATAAACATAAAACTTTGATTTATACTCCAACTTCTTTATTTGGTCATTAATAAGATGTTGAAAAAGTAAAGACACTACTATCAATGCTTGTGGATTTTCTTTTGAGAGTTTCAAGCGATATCTTATTTAATTAAATATATTGTATCATAAAGAAATTTTTAAATGGAGATACAAGCATATTATGTAATGAATTAAGTTTATATCTAAAGAATGGAAAGGTTAAAATGATTGATGCAAATGAATAAATTATAAGTATCTTATAAATTATTAATGAGATTAGATGAAATCTTGTTATATTATGTTAAAAAAGGGGAATAATAATGCATTGATGCTTTTATCTAGAAAATTGAATATTCAAAAATTAATACTGAAGAATTAATTTAACTATGTCTTATAAATAAATTGACTACTAGTTTGAGTTATGTATGTACAAGATCTGGAGATTTCTTGACTCCTTTGGCTAAATTATGGGGAATAATTTAATAAGACATAAAAAAGAAGGATCCATAATTAGTGATAGAATAAGGAAAAAATATTATATTATATTTGGAATATACTTTACATATTGAAGAATTAATAAAAGAGAAATCTGATTAGATATCTTTATGGTTATTTGAAATTTAAACATTATTTTTATTAATGAGTATAGATTTTGCTGGTTCTGTCTAATTATGTTACAGATTTTTTATTTCTCCATATGATTAATTTTTAGATAAAGAAAGATTAAAGAAATATTATATTAACATGACTTAAGCTTTTTAAAAATTAAAAGCAATAAAAGATTAAAATGATTTAAAATTTTAATTAACTTAATTGTAAATAAAAACATTACCAGATGCTATTCCATGGGATAAAATGATCAATTAAGTTGGTAGATCTATTTAAGCAAGTATTTTGAGTAAAGGATACACAGAATAATTATAAAATAAATAATTAACTGAATTATTCTTAGATTTAGTAAGTGAACATCGACATTTGATATTTTTACCACTTTAATGTTTACCTTTACCTAATATATTACATAATGATGAACCAACTCTTAAATATTGTTTAATTTATGCATATAATTAATTTATAATCAATTTATTTAAGAAATATCCAGCTGTTGATAAAGAAGATATTTTAAATTCAATGGCATCAGATGGATAATTTGATTGGGTTAAAATGTATTTAAATGAAGAACTTAAAATTTATAGTAGAACTTTAGATTTCAAAATTAAAATTAAGAATTAATTACAAAATTTTAACATTAAAGTTAAATTTGAAATTTTTACATGGATTTCTAATGTTTTATAAAAAGATCCTCCAATTCCATAAATTGATTCTTTTAGAGATAGAATTCTATATCATATAGGATCTTTAGTATCTTATAGTGCTGTTCATACAAGATCATTGATTTCAAAATATTTTTAAGCCAATGATATTAGTATTTTAAATAAAATGGGAGAATTACCTAAATTATAATTAGAATATCTAGAATAAATTATGTAAGCTGATAGAAAATAATATTAATCCAATACAGAATTGTTAAAATTATATATTAAATTAATTTGTTAAATTAAACCAGAGAAAGTTTTAAAAGAACTTTAAGAATAAGAATATCCTTTAGATGAAATGATTGTAGTATTAAAATAATATCCTGTGCCTGATGCTTTAGTATATTTACATGAAAGATCAGGAGCTATAACAGAAGCAATTAGTGTCAAATTAGATGATTTTATTTAAAAAATACAATAGAAAGCATTTTTAAGCAAAGTATTTATATATATAAATTTAATAATTTTAGAGTGAATTTTATTGTTATTTTTTGGAAATTTGTAATATTTGTCTTAGGAATTAGAAATTAGATGAATTAGATGAATCCTGGGATATGGTGACTTAATGTATTTTGGAACTTTCATAAAATAGATATACACCATAACCGTATCCATCTTATTTAGAAGAATATATTCCATTATTATTAAAGAAATGGGCAGAATGTAGTCATTTAGATGCATTTCTTGATAAAATAACAACTAAATATATGAGATTAAGTTCTTCAAAACTTAAAATGACTTTTTCGTCTATGTATAAACACTTTAATTTCTCTTCTACAGTTTATACTAAATTAGTAGATATCAATTTTATTAAATGCATTAAAAATATGAGAGCTTTGGTTCATTTATAACTTAAAGGATAGGGTTTTTTACCAGGTTGCTATAAATGTAATAATTATTATGATTATCATTAATAACTTGAATCAATTATTCTTTTAGCTTGTGGTCATACTTTTCATTATAATTGTCTTAATTTAGATGAGAAGGATTAATATCATTGTCCAGTTTGTTTACATAGTCCAAAAATTGCTATGGCTCATTAACTTTAATAATTGAAATCCAAAAAATATTTACTTAAGACTGAAAATTAATAATAATAATTATATTAAAAGAATTAAAACCCTTTGATTACAAATATTATTAAATAAGGATAAAAAAAACAATAGGAAATTGAATAAAGTTTAAAATTCATTCAAAATGAAAATGAAGAAGAAAATAAAAAAATGAAATAATTTGAAAAATTAAAATTATTTGAATAATAAAAATTGATTAGATTGGAAAGAGTTTGTTAAGGAGTTATGCTATATTGAAATAATAGTATATATATATAGATATAATTTAAAAATGAATTTAGATTTTTAAATGTATTGAATGTTAGTTATATAATAAATAATGAATTTCATGAATTAAACTTTTAGCAAAATCAGGCCTAAAACAACAGATTCTAAGATTCGAAATTCTTCTCATCATTAATTGATCTCTTAATTGTTTCAATAAATCAATTCTTATTATGAATAAGAAGAGAAACCAAGACCAAAAACTCAATCTAGATAAAGAAAAATGATTCCTTTAAATTATTCACAATCTGATACTTATGACCCTACAGACAATTTAATTGATAGATTATGTCCTACTATATAATAAGATGCAAAATTTATTTTTATCAAAACAAGAGAAAGAGCCTTGCGTTAACCATCTTCAGGTACAAGAAGAAAAAAAATGAATGAAGAACCAAAATTTCAACTAAATCCAATAAAGAAAACCACTATAATTTAAGAAATTACAGAATAGACTGCTCCACCTAAAAGGACAATTGAATAAAAGACTGATCATTCATTTTATCTAGTCAAGTAGTTGCATATTAATATTTAGTTCTATTAATATGCTCAAAACAATGAAAAAAGATAAAATGAAATTATTTAATTGCAGTTTTAATTGACTTTTTATTTTGCTATTAAATATACGTGTTAAATTTTAATGAGCCATCCTTCAACTCTTCTTGAATATCAACCAGCCAAATAACCCCATTCCAACATTATAAAATTGCTCACTCAACATCAAGACTTGTTTCTCATTCAGAATTAAACTCCTTCTACTTTAGGTGCTTAATACCCTTTAAATTTGGATGCAAAGGAAATACTAATAGAAGTTCAACCAGATCAAAAATTCACTCATCCAAAATACTTCTAAAAAGATAATAAAGTTCAAAAAATTACAAAATAACCTAAATAACCTGCATCTACAATTTTTGTAGAAAGTGGCCTTTGTGATCCAAACAAGAAAGCTTGGTATTACTTGGATGAAAATTAAAAGACTTAAGGACCTTACACATCAGCAGAAATTGATTAATTGATCACTAAAGGCACTATAAATATGTAAACTAAAGTTGCTTTAGAAACTTTAGATAAATTGGTTAGAGTTGAAAAGATTATTTAAGCAGTTAATAAAAAAAAAGAAGCTGATTAAAAATTAAAAGAAGCATCAAAATTAAAATAAGAAGAAGAAAATTAATAAAAATCTCTTGATTCACCAACAAAAGTTGAAAAATAAGAAGAACCTAAAGTTCAATAATCAAAATAAAAAGAAGAATAAGGGATTGATTTCGAAATAGACTATACAAAGATTAAATAGAATATTGATATGGGATAATGGGCAAAGCCATTAATTGCATAACCTATATAAGTCAAAGTTACAAAGGCTTTTACAAATAATCCATAATAATCAAAGCAATAATAAAAATAAACTAATAAGCAAACTGAAAGAAAACGAAGTGACAATAAGAGTATGCATGTAGAAGGAAATAAAGGGAATTTGTATTAAAAAAAAGGATATGAAAAGTAAGATAAATTTTAATCATATTAGATAAGAGGAAGTGATTTTAGAGGCTAAACCAAAAGAAGAATCAGACGCAACTATTAATTAAGAAGTTTAAGATTATTTAAAGAAATTGGAATCTAAAAAAGCAGAGATAGTAAAAGAATAGATTTAGTAATAACAAGAAAAATCAGAAAAATTACCTTAATAATAATAAACTTAAGTTCAAAAAGCACAGAAATTGAAGACTGAACCTCCAAAATAAGAATAAAAATTATAACCTAAATAGTAAGCAGAAACTGTAGATAGTGGTGATGAAGAGTGGGAAATTGTTGGAGCAAAGAAAAATGCATAAACAAAAAAGGAATAATAATAAAAATAAACAACTAAAACTGAATAATTAACAACACAATAAAAAAAATAAGAATAATAATAATAATAATAATAATAATAATAATAATAAGATGAAAATGATGATGAAGATGAAGATGGATGGTAAACTGTTGGTGCATCTAATAAAGATAAAAAAAAACCTGTTAATAAAAAGATCTAACAAAAAAATTCGAATATTCCTGGATTTGCTGTTGAGGTAAAAACAGATTCTATAACAATATCATCTGGATCAGCTAAGAAACCACCCCCTTAAAAATAAAAAAAACCTGAACCAGTATAACAATAATAACCCTAATAATCACAAGCTTAAAATTAACAATAAAACATTCAAAATGCTGATGATGATGATGAAGGTTGGATTGAAGTAGAAGTAGGCCAAGCACCGAAAAAGGTTACCTAATCTAAAAAAGGAAAATGATACCTTTAGTATAATATGTTAAATAAATAATAGTAAATATATTCAAGATTTATTGATGATAAATCTAACTATATATTATTCTTTTTATTATATTAATTAAAAATAAAATAAGTTTGTTTTCAGTTGACTAGTTTACTTTTTAAGATTATAATGCTATATTATTCTAATAAATTTTAAATTTATATTTTTCTGATAATTCTTTGAAGATAAACATTTATTTTTCAAAGATTCAGTATAAAATGGAATTGTTACTAAAATATATTTGAATAAAATATAGAAATCTTATAATAAATAATTAATTAGATTTATATATTGATAAAAGTTATCAACTCATATTTGCATTTATATACAAAAGGTTGATAGTCTAATTTTTAGATTTCATAATAATCTGGAAAAATAATTATATTAGTTAAGCAGAGGTATATCAGAATGATAAATCTTTAGTTTCTTAACTCTTATTTATCTATTTGATCTATCTGACTTTTATACAAATGAACTCTGTTAGCTTTTTGGAAAAAATACAGTCTATTTATTAGAAAAATGCTTCTTAATTATTTATTCAACTGGAGAAGAATCAATGTATTCTTAATTTTATTTAATTTTATTTATGTGAAAGGGATCTTCATTCACTTGCATGACTCTTTCAGTTTTATACCTTTCCGTTTTTATTTGTTGAACCCGTTTTTATTATTATTAACTTTTTATTCTAACTTAAGGAACTCGTATAGGCAGTAAGGGAGCAACTTATTATTTCTTTTCTTTCATTTTAAACCATGGCCCTAATCCATTGCAATCATGAGCTTAGAAGTCTAATATGAATTATTTAGTAACCTTCTTATTCATCAAAAAGCATTGATGTTTATAAAGCTAAGCTACACTTGTTCATTAATTATTTTTATAAACTTGAAATTTATTAAAAAAATAAAATTTTACTAAATTTCATTAGAAATGGATCACTTAAATGTTTAGAAGTATTATAAATTATTAATACAGATAGAATTTTCATTTTAAATTAAGGTATTATTTATTAGAGAAATTGAATAAGATTATCATTAGAAATTTGATTAAATATATAAAAGAAAGTTAAAGTCTTACTTAAAGTAGTTAGTTATAACTATTAAATTAATTTATATAGAATTTTAATTATATTTTGAAATATTTTTTCAAACAAAATCATATCTCAAAGAAATGAATATATTGAAAATTTAGATTAAATATAATAAGTCTGAATAGAGTAAAAGTAATTAACAATTTGTTATTTGGAAAGATTAATATGAAAAATCACTTTCAAAAATTTAAACAAGAGGATTACAAAATCAAAGTTTTTTTTCCATTGAGTAAAATATTTAGTAATTCAAACAATCTTATTTCACCATCTAATTTTTATGTTTTAATAACACCAATCAAAATATATAATTAAGGGTCTTATATTTCTAAATATACAATTAAATAGTTACTTTAATTCTTTTATTCATAAAATATAAGATGAATTTATTCTCTTAATTCCTTCATAGTCATAAAACAAGATAATTGAGAAAGGTCAAACTTAAATTCAAATTCTGTATCATTATGCAATACAATAATATCAATCAAAAAAACTGATTCCTAAATAATAAAGTAATTGTACTAATTATGCATTTGTAAATTTATTTACTGCTTTCCATACTCTAATTTACAAATCATTCATTTTTAAATACTGTGAAGGACTAATAATTTAGTTAATAAATTACTCATTAATGGTTTTGATTTGACTGACAGATTTTGACACATCATTAGATTCAAAAGTGACAAATGAATTTCTTCTTTATTATCTAGGACTTTAATTATTATCTCCTTTTGAAGAAGTGGAAGTTTTACGAAATGAAGAAATATCAATAATTCTGCCCAATTAACTTGATTCAAAACTTGTGGTTCTTTCAACATCTGATGTTTCTGATTCCAAATGAGTATGATTATGATTCATAGACACCTTTTTTAAAATTGGTTACCCAGACATTTTCTTCATATATAGAAATATTAAATTTAATATATATAAATTCAATTACTACTATTTGATGATTACATTTACGTAATTAATTAATTTAAATCTTTTATTCTTTAGAACCTATTTCACAATAATATCAGTATTCTATGAATTATATTTAATATATTTCCAGCAAAACAATTCTATATATTTACTTTCTTTTAAACTTTAAGTTTAAATATCCTGAAATCTATTATATGATCTTGTTTAAATTTCTTATACAGATAAAGAATCTAAATTTTAATTTAAAAACTATTATTATTCATTATCCTATCAAACAATTCTTAAATAATTCATAAATAATTATCAAGAATGAAAATGTCACTCATATCAAAATTAATTAATCCTAAGTTAACAAATAAATAATCAATTTCAATATAACTTTGAGAACTAATGTTAATAATCTTATAATTAAATTAATTTCCAATCTTTATTGAGGAATTGAAGATCAAAAATATATTGCATTTCTCATAATCTTATTTACATTTATTGAGTATACTCATTTTTATTTAATAACTTTCTTAAAAGGTTTTTATATTATTATTCTTAATATTTAAATAAAATTTTGAGTTGCTAAGTTTATTTTATCATTTATTATATAAGATAACTAATAAAAATAGTAATAATATTATCTCAATGAGTAAATCATAACCAATATTTATATATGGGATTACAATCAAGGATGATAGGGGGAAGTTGAAGAACTGTTAATTATGTGGAACAAAATTCACAATGTCAATTAAAGAACATTAATGTAAGAGGTGAGAATATTTGTTGATCCATAGATGCAAAAGAGCAGTATGTGATAAATGTGCTCCAAATAAAGCTCAAGTATAGAAGGCAGATGGATTATCTAAGAAGTCTCATCGATTATGTAATTTTTGTAAAGACGTAATATTTTTTTTTCGATAATTAGGAAAGTGATTCTCTTAAAAGATTCTTAGAATAATACAAAATAAGTTTTAACAAAGATTCATTCTCATAATAATGGTTATAATCATTTGGAACTGATACTACAAAAGCCAAAAATGTAATAATTCAGACTTATGTGAAATTTAGGATTTCTAAAATGCATAAGATGATGCAAAGCTATCTAAAGATACTAATGCTTATGATATCTTTAAAGCTAAATTAGAAGTAGTCATAAATGATATTGATGGATTTGTAAACTATTCCATTAAAGATTTTATGGTAGCAGCATTAAAAAATGTGGAATCATTTCGACAAAAAGAAGTAGTCAAAACTTCCATTTTGAGAGTTGCTGGAACACTTTTATTATTGTATCCTTAAATAGGGTATTCACATGAAATAGTACTCATTACCTATTTTCTTCTTTGTTTTGCATCTGAAGCATCTGTTTATATACTATTAACTGCTATATATGCTCATATTATTCCATCTCAATTATATCCAAAGACTAACACTAAATATGATTTAGTTAATGAAAATGCCATTGTAGTAGGCATATTAAAAGATGCTCTTTAAGTTGATTAAAATGATATGAGTGTCATTAAGAGTTTCCTCTAATAGAAACTCAGAACCTACTTAATAACATTGAGTATTAATCTCTTTTTATTTGAAACTACCTTTTTTATTATAAGTTCTGTATTAATGTCTGGTTCAAATGGTTATATGGATTTATTGGCTCAGATGGCTGTTTTATGTTAATTATCTAATTAGGAGTTGCAGAGAAACAAATTCAATCATGAAGAAACAGAATTATTCATGCTTAGATCACTTAGAACTAATTAATTAAGTGTACTTTATAAATAAACTCAAAATTGTGATTTTGAAAGTTATAAGAAAGTATATATTACAACTAGATCAGATTCAATTAAAGTAGATAATTTAAATTTAAGTGCTAGATAATCTATGATTAAACCTGATATGTAGAAAGTAAGTGAAATTAATTAGAAACTTTAAGAATAAGTTGATAGAAGGGATTAAGAAATAAAAAAATTGAATGATGAGATTATTTAATTAAGAGATAAAATCAAATAATTATAAAAAGAGAATTCAATACTATTAAATTAATAATAAAATAATGATTCTGAAATGTATAAAATTAAATTACATGAAATGAGAATTGATAATTCAGAATTGAAATCATAAATTGAATAATTGAAAAATGAAATATCAAAATATAAATTATAAAAAGAAGATGATTCAAGATTTAATCCTATAAAATAAAAAACTGAAACTATAGATAGTGATTATGAAAATGATTTATAAGAAATCTCTTAATTCAAATTAAAATATGAATAATAAATCAAAAATCTTAAGAAACAAGCTGAAGAAAAGAAATAATAATAAAATTAACCTAATCAAATATAAATTGATGAATTGAAAGAGAATTATGAAAATAAAATAAAATTACTTTAAAAATAAATAATATAATTATAATAATAAGATAATTCTGAAGAAATAAGAGATTTAAAAATCTAAAATCAATAATTATTAAAAAAATTAGAAAAAATAAAAGATGATAAGAATAAAAATGAATTAATATAATAAAAAAATGATGAAATTGATTTATTAACTGAATTGAATGAAGAATTAACTAAAGAAAATTAACGATTAATAAAATAATTTAGAGATTTAAAATCACAGAGTGGTGCTTCAAGTGCTTAGTAAATAAAAGTATTAGAAGAATAAAATAAATTATTAGAATCAAAATTAGAATAATATCATTCATTAATATAAGAATTGTTTAATATAATTGATAAAGTTAAGATTGAAAAATAGAAATTATTAGAATTCTCGGAAATGAAGTTTAAATAGAAAGAGGATCTTGAAGATGTCAAAATGGTTGCTGAAATTAGAACAATATAAACTTAATTATTAAAGGGAATGTTGAAAGAAAATTAAGCTTAAATAAGTGAATTAATATCTAATATAACGCAAATGCGTCAGATTCTCTAAAAATCAAAATCATTAAAACTTTGATTTATATATATAACAAAAAATAAATATAAAACATAGTTCATTATTATGAAAACACTATTAAATAATAAGAAATAACTTGGATAATAGGAAACATAGACAAAATAATTGTAGAAACATGAATCAGCTGCAACTGTTAGTCTAATTTATCCTTAGTTGAAACAATAAAATAGAATAACATCTGCTTATTATTCAGCGAAATTGATTAAAGGTAACATTACTTTGATAGAGTATTAGGACTTCCATTAAGTGCACAACCTATTGCTAGGCCTATAAAAAAGGTTCCATAATTATAATATCCTTTTTTTTAAGAAGCTCCACAATTATAAATGCAATCAATTCATGATGAGGATGTATAACAATCAAAGCAAACTCAAGAACCTGAATTTGAAATTAGAGCTACAACAGCTCCTGAGGGGGCTTAAAGGAAACCAAAATAAATTTAAGATTTCAGATAATTGATTTAAAGAGTGCCTTAAGTAATTAAGATGGAACCGACAGGAGGACAATATGTCATTTAAAATAAATTTCCAGAATATATTGTAAGATATGGAAAATTAAATATATTAGAATGATTTTGATGAATTTACAGTGAATCCCCATGTTCATAAACATATGGAAAGATTAAAATCATCAAATAGATTAGTGCATTATTAATAATTGCCTCGTAATTAATCATCGAAATTAGAAAGATAAAGAGAACTTATTGAGAAAACAATATCAAATAGACCTGTCTAATCATAATAAATAAAGAAAAGAAAATTATTACCTGATAATAGACCTAAGACAACAAATTATAAAAGAGAAAATCCTTTAGGTGATTGTTGGAAAGATTTGGCTTAAAAAGTTATAATATAAGCAAATACAGCAAATAAACCTAGAGAGGAATCAATACATGAATAAGAGAAATCATTAACACATTTGGATTTAGAATCAAATGTATTAACATAGAAAGAGAAAGAATACATAAAGAAAAAAAGAAAACAATTTTTAGATGATTTAAGACCATATTTAGAGATGAAATAAGCATAAGCAGAAAAAAAGAGAGCAATGGCTAAAAGAGAGGTATTATTAGATAAATTTGATTAACATAATTCATTATTAAGTGAATTAGAAGATGATGGTGATTTAGCAAAGGAAGAAAGTATTGAAATGTTAGATGATGAAATTTAAATATTTAATAAGCCTTTAGTTGAATAATAAAATTTCTTTGCTAAAGTTGATCCAATAAATAGATCATTTGAATAGTAATTAAAGGAGACTTAATAAAAATTTGAATAAATGGTTAAAGAAGATAATAAATTATATGAAGATGCTTAGAGAAATAAAATAGATAAACCAGCACCATTTTTAAAGGTTGGAGATCATTTTTCATTAGATGAAATTAATTTAGTATTAAGAGAATTAAAGAAATCAGTAGATGATAGAAATTATGAATGTAATTAATATATAATATAATTTAAGTATTGGATGGTATTTGTAAGAATTTAAAATTCTTTTGGTAATTTAGTAAATAAACAAGAATTTTATTATTAAAATTGAGTTCTTTAGTTTTTTATAAATGTGGTGAATATATTTTTTATGAAGGTGATGTGGGAGAATAAATGTATATAATTTTAAATGGTGGTTGTCATGTAAGAATTAAAAATCCTCATGTGGCTGATTGTAATCCTATTGTAAGTACATTATATACTGGTTAATAATTTGGTGAATTGGCTTTGATTGATCCAAATACTAAAATTAATAGACCTGATCAAAATTAATTACATTCTAATAGCAAATACACATTAAATAAAATAAGAGATGAGATGTAGAGATAAGAATAATAAAAGGAAAAGGCTAAAAATTGGTGGAAGAAAGACTATAATGAGGATGAGAAATAAGAATAAGTTAAAATCTAACCAAAGAGAAGTGCTTCTATTGAATGTGCTGTAGATACATATTTATTAGCAATATCAAGAGATTACTTTAAAAGTATTATTCTGAATGTCATTACTTCAGAACTTGAAGATAAATTAAAGACATTATTAACTATGCCTTGTTTTGATGTATTATTACAATTTATTATATAATAGTTTCTATCTTAAATGGAATTAATACCTATAGCTAATTTATTGGAAAGTGAAACTTATAGATTGGGTTAAGTAATTTTAAAAGAAGGTGAGCCATAGAAATACTTTTACATTGTTGCAAGTGGTAGATGTAAATGTGTGAAAGAGGAAGTGTTTATTAGAGATTTGAAAGTAATGAGAGCTGATGATCCAAATAAAAAGAAGCCATTGAAATGTGGTTTAATTGATTGTAATAAAATATCAATATAAGAGATGCTTAAATTAGAGAGGATAAGAAAATGAGAGTGAAGAATACTTCCTTAGATTTAGAAAATGTGCCTGGATTAGGGATACCTTAATCTTTTTAATATTAAGAAATATACAAGAATAAAGAGTATATGGCATTCAAATACCATTTCCTTTATAGAGAATTTGTAAGAGGTGATTTCTTTATGGGAAGAGTGTTATTAAATGAATATAAATTATTTGATGAAGATATAATGGAAATGAAATATGATTTATCAGAAAAAAGTAGATTAACAGTGATTAGTGATGCAGCAAAAACTGAGGTGTATAAATTAGATAAGGGATTATTTCATTTAGTTAGTCAACCATTGAAACAACATTTGATTGATGGAATAAAGAGAAAACCAGAATTTGATCATATATTTGATATGGAAGAAGCAAAAAAGGTTAAAAAATGGGATGCATATAAGATGAATCTATTTAAAGCTGTGATGGAGTAAAAGGAATTGAAAAATTGATTTTTTTTTTAATTAATTCATTATTACGATGAAATCTGGATTATGGGATAATATGAGAAAAATGGTCACTCTTATTGATGATCTAAGAGATTGTGGTGTTTAAGATTACATTAAATTACCAAGAATTTGTGTTGTTGGAATGTAGAGTGCAGGAAAGAGTAGTTTATTGGAAAATATTTGTGGATTGGATTTCTTACCAAGGGGTGATGTAATTGATTAATTGCTATTCAAAAAAGGGTGTTGTAACTCGTAGACCTTTGGAATTGCGTCTTGTACATATTCAAGAAAGATTATCACCTTGGGCAATCTTTAAAGAAGTACCAGAAAAAAAGTTTACAGATTTTACTAAGGTTCGTGAAGAAATTGATAGATTAACAGATGCAAAGGCTGGATAAAGAAAGAGTATAAT